GGTTGACGACTTGGCTACGCAGCGGTCGTCACAGGGTTACACCTTCAGTCTTGGCTCCGGTTCTGTCTCTTGGCGGTCTACCCGCTCTTCTTCTGTTCTCAGCTCCAGTTGCGAGGCTGAGATCTACGCTGGGGCCATGGCTGCACAGAAGCTACGCTGGCTCACCTACCTGCTGACCGACTTGGGAGAGGCGCCTCGTTCTCCTCCAGTTCTGTACGTCGACAACAAGGCCATGCTGACCTTGTGTCAGGAGCACAGACTGGAGCACAGAACGAAGCACATTGCTCTGCGCTACTTCCTTGCTCGAGAGTTGCAGCAGCGTGGCCAGCTTCGTCTTGCTTACGTGGCCTCTCAGGCCAACACTGCTGATGTTTTCACCAAGGCACTTCAGCCTTGTGATCATCAGCGTTTCTGTACTGTGTTAGGCCTTGTACCTACTGTGCCTCACTTGTTGACTTCTTGACTCTGCTTGTACTATACTCTATATACATATACCTGCATGCTTATATTTGCTAGGTTGTGTTCACTGTATTGTTTGCTTTCCTTTATATAACTCTGCATGTGAACTGGCCTTGCGGCCCTTTGCTTGTGCTCAGACTGCGTGGTGACTTTGTGATCCACCCTGAGCTTGCTTTGTCTTTCTTGATTGGTCTTGTGACCTCTTGTTCTCCCCCACTTTGCCTATGGGGGTGTGTCAAACTTATATCTACTATAGTCTGTTTAGGCTGTAGTGGGGTAGTTCTTAGAGGGTACAACACTTTTGTGTTCTCTACTTGTACCCATCTCCTTTCTAGTTCAATCATTCCTCAATTCTCTCACATGTTCTCCTTTATATAACTCTGCATGTGAACTGGCCTTGTGGCCATTTGCTTGTGCTCAGACTGCGTGGTGACTTTGTGATCCACCCTGAGCTTGCTTTGCCTTTCTTGACTGGTCTTGTGACCTTTTGTTCTCCCCCACTTTGCCTATGGGGGTGTGTCAAACTTATATATGCTATAGTCTGTTTAGGCTGTAGTGGGGTAGTTCTTAGAGGGTACAACACTTTTGTGTTTCCTACTTGCACCCATCTGTTTTCTAGTTCCACTCATTCCTCTCATTATTCTCACATCAAAGTCCTCCTGCCTGTCCTCAAGGACGTCCGTGCCAAGAGCACACTCACCCCCGACGGACGGAGGACTGGCAGGCAGAGACTTAGCAACTAGAGCAGAGGCGTAGTCGAGACGGCAGGCAGCAGCAAAGTCAAGCAGCTCAGCAACGAGAGCAGACGCAGCAGCAGACTCAAAGGACGGGTCAGTGACAGCAATGGCAAGGAGACGAGCAACAGTGGGACTGGCAGCACGCGCTCGGTCAGACTTAGGGTCAGGGACCTCAGGAAGAGAGGACTCAGGAGGAGCAGGCAGAGGAACACGCAGTGGAACAGATGAAGGACGGAGTGCCATAGTGTGCGTGCCGGGGACAGGAGGAGGATGCGAACGAGGAGCGCGACGAGCAGTGCGAACAGGCGAGACAGGACGAGACGCAGGCTCACGACGCTCTGTACGGCCTCCGGACTTCTCAGTGTAAGGAAAGAGAACAGGCAGTGGGGAGGCTGGCTGTAACAGCGGCTGCGACTGGTCAGGCGGTGGATACAGGAAGGGAGGAGGAAGACCAGTAGAAGACGGGACACCAAGAACCTGCTGAAACAGGGGAACGAAGTATGGACGCGGCCGCACAGTGCCTCCAGCACCTCCAACTCCAGGGTCAACAGCTCCAGCTGCTGTAGTCCCAGCGCCTCCGGCGCTAGTGCCTCCAACTCCAGCTACTCCAGCGCCTCCAGCGCCAGCTGCTCCAGGCTCCGTAGGGTCTCCAGCTCCAGCGCACCCAACACCACCAGTCCCGGTAGCTCCAGCACCACTGGTACGAGCACATCCAGGACCAGTAGTCGCAGTACCTCCAGCTCTAGGGTCTCCAGTCCCGCCAGCTCCGGGAGCTCCACTCTGACGGTGTGCGCGCTGAACAAGCCACTCACGCAGCTGCTGCGATGACAGTCGCGGCGAAGCACCAGTAGGACCTCCAGACAAAGCAGCACCCCGAGGCTCAACACCCCCAGACTCCGCACCCTCCGACTCAGCACCCCCAGGCTCAACACCCTCAGGCTCAGCACCCCCAGGCTCAGCACCCCCAGACGCAGCACCTGGAGCAGCACCTGAGACGACAGCTACCTGAACAGGCGCAGTGCCAGGGAGAGGGTCTACCTGAGACACACCCGAGGGAGCAGGACCCTGGGGCTGGAGTGGGTCTACCTGAGGTGGACCAGGAGCAAGGAAGAGCAGCGGGGGCGGGGGAGGGGCAGAGCGGTAGGGGAAGAGATGGTAGAAGGGAACCGACTCGTCTCACGTGACGTCCTGAGATGGGAGGATACGGCGCGAGGTGGGGTGGTGAACTTGCCAGCCAGGCGCGTCAGGGACAAAGCCAAGGAAGACGCAGGGAATGGCGCGTGCGGAGAGCTTGTCCGCGGACGTATCGCGAACAAAGGCACGAGAACCCCAGACCCGGAACACCGACGCATCGCCAACCTTCCCCGTCCAACGCAGCATGGGCAAGGTCTCCGGCAAGGAGACACGGGGCCAAAGGTTGAGCTGATGCGCAGCGTACCAGACCGCAAACAGCCACAGAAAATGGGGAGCGGCCGCATGGATCATGGAGGTACGAGCGACCTCCATGACTAAGCCAATGCGGCGCTCAGCAATCCCATTTTGCTGAGGGGAGTCCGGAAGCGTGAACGACTGGGTGATGCCCTCCCCATGACAAAAGTCCCGCAAGAGTTCGGAGGAGAACTCACCACCTCTGTCAGAGTGCAGACGCAGGACAGGAAGGGCTTGGCCGAACCGCTCGCGCAGCTGGAGACGGACTGTGCGGATCTAAGGGAACAAGAGAGCAGAGACCTCACCCTTGCCGCGCAAGGGGAAGACTGTGGTGTACCGCGTGTAGTCGTCAACTACCAGCAGAAAGTAGCGCTCGCGGCCCTGTCCACTGACGCGGGCTGGGCCCCACACGTCCATGTGGAGGGTCTGCAGGGGAGCAGTCGTTGGGGGAAACGAGGAGGAGTGAGGAGTGGCGCGCTGCCGCCCCTCGACACAAGGAAGACAGGGCGAGGCAGGCAAGGGCGGTAAGGGAGGCAGAGACCTGGGGAGACCAGAGACAAGGAGACGGGAGTTCATGCCACGAAGGCGTGGCAGGGAGGGGTGACCCAGGCGATGGTGCCAAAGAAGAGTCTGGTGCGACAGGAGGCGACACGAGCAAGAGGCGGCTACCTGACCTGACACGAACACCTGAGCAGACGTAGCGACCTGAGGAGGCTCGGTAGCCAGCGTGTACAGACTCGACCCTGGCTGAAGAGTGAACGTAGCCAGGTGACGCCCCGTCCGTGTGCACGTGCAGATCGACACATGCTGACCCCCAGGAGTGGTTGTAGTGACCATCGCGTCCTTAAGAGCAGCGGTACTCACCAAGTTCGTAGAGAACGAGGGGAGGTGAAGACCTGACAGTGAGCCGGACAAAACCGCCGGACACGGGAAGATAGTGGAGGAACTGGCAACGACCGGGCCCCCAGAGGGGTCAGCCAGTCTGACCGGAACAGGTGCAGGGAGAGGAGTGAGAGTGGTGCTGTCACGAAAGAAACAGCGCGAGGAGCGGGAGTCCAACGTGAAGGTGTGCAAGGCCTCAGCAGGCGCAGTACCAGGGGGAGTATCAGACGCACTAGCACCTAGAGCAGCAGCCGCTATACTTGGGTCAGGTGCCACACACCAGTAACAGTCACCCTCAGCACTTAAAGATAAAGCATACATGGCAGAGATAATAACATCATCGTCTAGGTCAAAGATAGGAACTCCTGACTGAAGCAACTGCGCCCATCGAGGGCGCTCGACGTCGCCACCAAACTCAGTACGCCAGGCGTCGTCAAGGCGGGCAAAGCAGCGGCGCTCAGTGTGATACTTCCCGCATGTCTGGCCCGCACGGACACCCGTGCGAATGACATACGGGCAAGTCTCACTACCCTCACCCAGCCCACGCTGAACCAACCACTCACGGAGCTGCTGGGGCGTCTGGGTCTCGCTCCACGCTGCTGGTGCTGGCCCCGACCACCATCAGGGCCTGTGCGTCGAGGTCCAAACCTACCACCACCGGTCGCACCGTCTCCACTACCGCCACTCCCTCCGCTGCCGCCATCGCTGTCACCAGAGCCTCCACCACCGTTTATAAAAGTTCTCGATTATAAACCCACCCCCCTGAAAAAACGTGATTTGTTTTAAAGCTCGCGTCTCAAATTTCCTACTGTTTAACACTTGGTTGGGTTTGCCCCTATTTGATTGGGTAACGAATGACGAAATATGTGACGAGCGGGTGAAAAAAACACAGCGAACTCCCAAACAGGTTTGGCCAAAACAAACCAGGGTGTGCAGGTTTGGGTGGAAGACGAGCCTTGGGGGACAGGTTTGGCCCCGCTTACTGTCAGAGTTGAGAGTTCAGAGTCTCAAATTTCCGAGATTGTAAATGCTTGGTGTTCGCGGGGAAGTGTGCGACGCGATTTCCCAACCAACCTTACCAACCACCCCTTTCCTTGGTGTGCTGTGCGACAAACTCTGCTGTTACCGGATTCCAACCGTTTAACACTTGGTTGGATGGCATAAATATGAGACGCGAGCTTTAACCCCAAGGGCAAGCATATTCGGGGGCTGATGGAATGTTTCACCAGGATATTAACATTTTTAAACTGTCATAGTCAGTGTACAAGTGTTTTTAAGCTGTTTTTGGCAGGGTATGAAAAAGAATACCCTATGAGTCAGGGTAGAGTTGGCTTGAAATCCTGATTTGTCAAGGTGGGCCAAAACCAATTTTGGGCCCTGATCTCTACTCTTGTCCACAAGCCACTTCTCAACATAGGCTGGTGACCACAAAGAGGCACAACAGGACGCCCCATGCGGGTGAGGGATAAGAGATGAGGCGACGCGGCTATGGGGCTATGAGGGTGGGGCCTTGACCTCAAGCAGCTCCACTGTGAGCTGGATGGTGGCGCCGGGCTGGCAGGTGGGGGTGGGGGTGGGGGGTGGGGGGGCGATGAGGAGGAGCGGAGAAAGAGTGAGGCGGTGATGCTGGTGCGTGTCATGTCATGAAGGGAGTGCATGGGGACTAGTGGATAGAGAGGAGGGCAGAAGGGCCCATGACATGTCAGTGACATTGCTATGACATGCTAGATCTTAAGATACAATGGATGCCAGGAGCCTGTAGCACATGAGCACATTGTATGACACGGCATGGCATGGCATGGCATGGCATGGCATGGCAAGGAATGGCATGGTATGGTATGGCATGGCATAGTTTGGCTTTGCATGGTTAGGAATGGTATGGTTTGGCATCGTGTGGTTTGATATGGCATGGCACGCATGGCATGGTGATGGAGCTCACAGGGATTTCAGCGAAGCCCTTGTCACCGTAACCTTGCTCCGGCGGCACAATCACTGTGCGCTGTGGGGGAGACAGAGCAGATGCGAGGGAGTGAGAGAATAAGAGGGGATGCAAGGAGATGAGGTGAGAAGAGAGGTGATGCAAGGATGAGGGGATGCAAGAAGATGAATGAGAGCAGGGCGTGGCTGGCAAGCACTGCATTGTTTCGCCCAAGGCCCTGAGAGAGTGTGGGGGCGCCACGGGTGCTTCTCAGGGCCGCACGCTGCCCAGTTCTCCCTTACTCCCGTGCTGCGCCCTCCCCCGACCCCCACTTGCCATGTCCCAAACTCCTCGCCCTCCCCCACCTTGTTTCTCCACCCTACTCCCTTGCTCCCTTCCACTCCAGTGCACCCCCGCGTCAACTGCTACACCCTCTTCTCTGGTTCCCTTCTTCTCATCCCCCCCTCTCCCTCCCTCCCCCTCGAACCTTGACCCTCACGTGCATGCCATCCACGACGCAATAGATCGCCTTCTCAACACGCCCCTCTTCCCCCTCTCATCTCATCTCTTCCCCCTCTCATCCCCTCCCGGCACCTCCCTCCCTCAACTTGCCCTCCACCACGCTGCATAGCGCCTCGTGACACATCTAAACCCTCCTCTGCTCCACCCCCACCTCTTCCCCCCACCCACACCTCCACCTCCCCTCCATCTCACCTTGCCGCCCACGCGCATGCCCGCCACATATAGCGTACAGCACGTTTTGAGACGTTTCAACTCTCCCCTGCTCCACCGCCACCTTCCCCCGGGGCTCATCATTCCCCCCATCTCACCTTGCCCCCCACGCGCATGCCCGCCACAACGCTGTAGAGCGCGCGGGGCGGTTTGGGGGCGGCCTGCGCGGAGAAGAGTCCGTTGGCCGACTCCGCGTAGTCCCGCTTCCTCTCCGCGCCTGGCTTGGCGCCCAGGGAGAACTCGTACGGCTGGGGGAGAGGGGAAGGGGGAGGGAGAGCGGATGGGGGCGGGGGGGAGAAGTGGATAAGAGCAAGTAGGGTGAGTGGCGGCGTGGCCTTCCGTTGTCGCGCTTCCGCTCCACACCCAACTTGGCGCCCGGGGAGGACTCGTATGGCTGCTGGGAACAGGTGGGAGTGGGAAGAGGAGGTGGGAGAGGGGGGAGAGAAATGCAGAGGAGCGAGATGGGTGAGTGGAGTGCACTATCCTCTCCCGCCTCCTCCCTGAGCGGGGCTTGGCTCCCTGAGCGGGGCTTGGCTCCTTGCGACACACTAGTACGCCTGAGGGGTTGTGCGGATGGGAAGGGGGACGCACGCAAGGAGTGAAATATGCACAAGGGGTTAATAAGCGGGAGCACGGGAGCGTGGAGTGAACTTTCGTTTCCCCCGCCCCCTAAGCTTGGCGCGCAGGAAGAACTGGTGGGGTTGGGGGGAGGGGGGAGGTGCAAGGGTGGGGATAGAGGGAGGAAACAAGTGGAGGCAGGGTAAAGTGCAAGGCGGAAGATAAGAATGAGTGAGTGCGGAGAGTAAAGTGGACGTCCGTCGTCCCTACCCTCACATTTGCGCCTCTCACTGCTAACCGCTCCTTGCTTTGGCACCAGCAAGCACTGCACTGGTGTGGCAGGGGAGGAGGGGGGAGAATAGGAAGCAACAGTGAGCAGGAGGGATAAGAGAGCAGGGCGAGTGGCCGCGACAGTTGCTCAGTGTGCACTCATGCATGTGGATGGGGGACAGTAGGAGAAGGGACGGGGATCAGCAGGGGCGGAGTGGGAGGGGTACGTTCGTGGCAAGAGGATTGGGGCAGTGAGGCAGTCTGACAGTGGGGAATGGTGGTGTTGGTTGGGATGAGAATCGAGGCAGGCTTGTGGAAACTTAGAGAAGACGAGAAATACCGCAGAATACCATTCCGCAAATATGATTTGGCCCTGACATTCGGCTGCCCCTGCGGTACAATTTGGGTGCAGAGGAGATATGATCCCGGAGCACACCTGGGAGATGACGCGGTTGCCGCCCAGCAGCTTGGACTGGCGGCTCGACACCACCGTGAGGCTGCGATACGTCACATCAAAGTGCACCTGCGCGGAGAGGGGGGGGCGGAGGGGGGGGTGTCAGGGATTGGGCAAAAGATGGGAGGGCGAAGGAGAGAGTGGAGAGGGCGGGGTGGAAGAGCAGAGAGTAGGAGACGGTGGGCGAGGTGCAGTGGAGGGGCCATGATGCGTGGACGAGATGAGTGTCGGGATGGGGGAGTGACATGGCATGGAATGGCATGGAATGGCATGGAATGGCATGGCGTGGCAGTGTGCAAGGCGGGATGAGCGTGGAGCAATGGGGGCAAGGGAAGTGAGCAGTGGGCCACATGCAATGGACCGAGTAGCATGTGGAAACAAACTCGTTACTTTGCTTGTCCCGGAGCAGCATAGCCACACTTGCATGACCCTTTCGTCTCCCCCTTCCTCCTCCCTCCCCACTCGCCCCATCTCCCCACCTCCCCCTCCTCGCCCCATCCTACCACCCTTTCCCCCACCCCTCCACCCCTCTCCCCCCCGTCTCCCCCCCAGTCTCACCACGACGGGGTCGCCGCGCTCCGCCAGCGTGCCCTTGCCCGCCGCCACGTCGTAGAACCGCAAGCCGCCCTCTGCCGCACACGCACACAGGGGGAAAGGTGGCGGGAGGGGTGTGGGGGAGCGCCAAGCCGTTGAGTTCCCCGCGCGTGCTGCATGCGCTGCGCCTGCCCGCGCCCCTGTCGGGTGGGAGCAGCAGCGCTGGAATGCCGCGCATGACCCGTGGAAAAGCGCAACACGCGGAGAGGTGGGGGGGTCGGGGGCGTGTTGGGGCAGCCAGCGCGCGCGTGTTGAGCGCTTTGAGCGCCGTGCAGGCAAGCAGGTGTGCGCCCTGCGCACGTCGCAGCACGTGCTCTCAGGGACGAGCGCGCGTGATGCGCGCGAGAAGGGGGGAGGAGGAAGGGGGAAGGGGGGAGGGGGAGGAAAGGGTGGGGGAGGGGAGGAGGGAGGAAAGGAGAGGGAGGAGGAGGGTGGGGGATAGAGATGTTACCAGCGGCCTGGCCTTCCCAGCCCGCAGGAGCGATGGGCGAGTGAAGGAGCCCCGAGAGCACCGGAGCTGCCGCCTTGAATTGCCGCCGGCTCCCCGTCTCGTCTGAACGAAAAACTCACTTTCTCTGCACTCACTTGCCTCACCGCCCTCTGCGCTCACCGCCCTCTTGGTACATCTCCTCGGGAATGTCGATCCTCGTCCGCCTTTCCCGCGCCAACGCCACGTCGGCGCCGCCGTTTCCGGAGCCGGAGAGCGAATCCAGCGCCGGCAGCAATGCGAGCGACGACAGCACGGCGCGTCTCGTCACGCTGACGTCATCGTTTGGTTTCGAAGTTCCGTGGGGGGAATTAGAGATGGAATTCGCGGCTGGTGTTCGCACGGGTTCGCGAAATGTCGCTGCATTCGCGAGTTCGGTACTAGCTTGGCATCTACCAGTTGAAGCGCCAGTCGACAGGCGCTGGTTAGCAGAGAGAGGTTGAGTGATGGCGTCGGATCGGGTAACCAGTCGCAATGCGGGTTTCAACGAAAGGAGCGACATAGTCAATGGCTGGACACCCGAACGTATACCAGCAGTACCTTTGCTCGTGCAAATGAGGGTGTGTTGGATTGCGTGGAAGCTGAGGAATGGCGGACGAGTAAATAAATTAGTTTCCTAGGGAGGTATGTAATGTGAAAATGGGAAGAGCAGGGCATGTGAGGCGAGGCATAGTTTCATATCGCAAGCGACGTGCGACGTGGAATGGCGAGAATGGCGACTATTGTTGCGACGTGGCGAAATCAGCTTACCCTGGAAACATATGCCTCGCTAACAGTTGCTGGGCCGCGCGACACATTTTGCCAACAACGACATTTCTCTGGGCTTCCACCAGCAGCTCATTCGAAAGATACTTCATCGAAACAATGCCACGCCAAACCTGACCACTGTTGACGTGGCAGATTGACTCTGAGGTTTGAGGGGCCGCCACGACGTCAAGTGGCACGGAAGTTCGTTGGCAGAACAGCCACGCCAGCAAGATCAGCATGCTGAAACCTCCTCACCATTTAATGGTGTGATCTGGGAACCATACAGTAAAACACGTTCGAGCAATTGGTTAAGTTCTCTAAGGAATAAGGGGATTGATTAAGAGCATAAGCGCAGCCAATGAATGGTTCACAGCACCTTCGTTCTGTCTTGTTGTTACTGCTAGAGATATGCATCACAATGCCCACCGTGTACCATGATCTCAGCAGTGCAATTCCTGCATGGATAGTGTCCCCATCACATACGGTACAGGTAGAAAGACACATGTTCTCACTCACTTCACTTTGATTGCTCCCTAAGGCCAAGAGGAGCAATACCATACTGTTGAACCTTTCTCTAGGACCTGGAAAACAAGAGTTTAGCAGCTGCTTCGAAACTCAACGAGCATGTCGTGAGATGATGGGGTGAGGCGAGTTGAAGCTTGAAAGATCTTCAGAGCAGTCACTGAAAATAGTCAGGGAGCGGAAGAGAACCCGAGGGAGGGGGACGGGGGAATAACATGATTAAAAAGGTATTGATTAAAGCACAGGCTGTGATGGCACAACATGAAGTCCAGTGGACAGAGAAGAGAGAACATGTGACAGGAAGAAGGAAAGGGGGGAGATGTGGAATAGAGGCGAGCATCTGCGAGTCTGTCGAAATGCGGTTCGCCTTCTTGATGTCCGCCACCTGCTCGCCTTCTTGATGTCCGCCACCTGCTCGCCACACACCACGCACGGTGGGCAGCACATGAGTTAGGCGGGATGGACACACGATGCATGCATGGAATGATTCAACTCGATGCATGCATGGAATGATTCAACTGGATGCCGGAAATAGACGTGCGCTTGGGAAGGGTCGGCGGAAAGAAGAGTGACGAGGTGCACACGAGGAGGGCATGCTAGACGGCGGGAGGGCGAGAGAGGAAGAATCTTGCACAGACTGACGCGAGGATGCTGCGATGCGACGCACTGACTGCGTGCTCATGTGGCATGTGGGTGTTCGGGAAGGCCAGACACAACTGTTGCACGAGTAGAACCTTCTACAGCGAGATGCAAGGGACAAAGTTTACCGGGCTGATAGCAGCGGAGAGCAATGCTTTAGTTCCACGCAGAAAGGCAGAGGTGAGGGAAACCCACGAGACACGGAGGTAATGACGAGAATATCTGAGTGGGGCACGAGGAAAGCGAGCGAGGTGCAGCTGGGTGCCACAGCGGATGGCGATGGCGGCGAGGGAGTGGAAGCGAGTCCCCTCGTGCAGCACGCACTGCTGCCCGCCGTCCCAGCGCGCGGGAGGAGACTCGCTCAGCTCGGAGCCAGGGGAGAACCGTTGTCTACGGACATTCGCACGAGTCCTGTGTGACGACCGGGATCTTCAGTGTGAAGTACATGCGCCGATTCAGGTCAACGCTTACGCGCTGTATATCACGCTAGGCATGAACCCGTGGTCGTGCGTTTGGACATCCCTCAACCTCTGAAACCTGGGGGGGACGAGAAGAGGGGGGAGGGGGATGGGAGGAGTTAGGAAGAGGGGCAGAGGGTAAAGAAGGGATGAGAGAGGGAAGAGGAGATACAGGGAAGGGGGGAGGGAAAGAGGGAAGAGGGGAGAGATGGAAGAGGGGAGAGAGGGAAGAGGGGAGAGAGGGAAGAGGGGAGAGAGGGAAGAGGGGAGAGAGGGTAGAGGAGAGAGAGGGAGGAGGGGAGAGAGGGAAGAGGGGAGTGAGGGAAGAGGGGAGAGAGGGAAGAGGGGAGAGAGGGAAGAGGGGAGCGAGGGAAGACGGGAGAGATGGAAGGGAGGAGATTGGACGAGTTGGGAGATGGCGGGCGGTAAAGCCCGGAATGGGAAAGTGAGGGGAAGTAGAGGAAAAACTGAGGGTGAGAGGAGGGAAAGCAGGAGGGGGAATGAGGGGAAGCAGGGGGCGAAATGAGGGGAGGAGAGAAAGAATCGGGGGAAGCAGCAAGGGAAATGAGGGAAAGAAGGGAGGAAAAGCAAGAAATGAGGGGAAGCAGAGGGGGAAATGAGGGGAAGAAGGGGGGGAAGTGAGGGAAAGCAGGAGCGGAAATGAGGGGAAGCGGGGAAATGAGGAAAAGCAGGGGGGGGTTAGGGGAAGCAGCAGGGGAAATGAGGGGAAGCAGGGGGGGGGATGAGGCGAAGTAAGGGGGGAAATCAGGGAAAGAAAGGGGGGAAATGAGGGAAAACAGTGGGGGGGGGGGGACATCAGGGGAAGCAGGGCGGAAATGAGGGGAAGCAGGGGGGGAAATACGGGGAAGCAGGGAGGGAGGGAGGGAATCAGGGGAGGCAAGGGGGAAATGAGGGGAAACAAGGGGGTGGAAATGAGGAGAATCAGAGGTGAAAATTAGGGGAAGCAGGGGGTACATTGAGGGGAAGCAGGAGGGGAAATGAGGGGGGAAAGAGGGGAAGAACGGGGAAAAATCAGGGGAAGCAAGAAATGAGGGGAAGCAAGGGAAGAAATGAGGGGAAGCAGGAGGGGAAATGAGGGGAAGCAAGGGGGAAATTAGGGGAGGCAAGGGGGGAAATGAGGGGAAACAGGGCGGGGGGGGGAGGAATTAGGAAATCAGAGGTGAAAATTAGGGGAAGCAGGGGGGAAATTGAGGGGAAGCAAGGGGGGAGATGAGGGGAAGCAGTGGGGGAAAGAGGGGAAGAACGGGGAAAAATCAGGGGAAGCAGGGGGTTATTGACGGGAATCAGGGGGGGAAATGCGTGGAAGCAGGAGGAGAAGTAGGCTCTGGGGGGGATGTGAGAAAATGTAAATAGAGATTCTTCCAGCCATGGAGGGATGGTAGGGAAGGTAACAAGAGGGAATGGAGGGGCAGGGAAGGCAAGGGATGGGCAGGTGAGAGAAGGGCAGAGTGAGAGGAGGCGCGAAGAGGGTAGCGCGATGGGGGTGCTGGCGCGTTGAGGGGAGGGGAGGCGCGACGAGGGGATGGGAGTCGCGACGAGGGGAGGGGAGGCGCGACGAGGGGAGGCGCAACGAAAGGGGGGGAGGCGCTACGAAGGGGAAGGGTGGGGGTAAGCGCGACGAGGCCCCGGCGTAACGATGGTGCTGTTGCGACGAGGAAAGGAGAGGCCTCACGAGGGGTGTCAGCGCAACGATGGGAGGTGAGGCGCGACCAAGAGGGGAGAGACCAGGGGAGGGGAGGCCCGACGACTTGAGGCTCCGTGGTGAGGTGGCTTCGCTCACCTTCGCGACCACACTGACCAGTTCTCTGCAACCTTCGTATTATTTGCGACGAATGCGCTTTCGCGATGAGTGCGGCGAGTAGCTAGCTTTCTGAATTGAGATGTCTACAATTGTCCAACACAGATTAGGGTTGGGCTCCGACATTGGGCGTGACGAACCAGGCGGGTTGGTAGGGATGAGAAGTTCGCCCACCCTTTCGTCAATTCGCACACGCAAAATCGTTTCGCACAAAACCAACTTTCCCATACCATCTCAGAAGCGGACACCACGTGTTTCTAACGGTTGTGATTGCGGTAGGTACCTTCGATGTTACTACGATGTGCGGTACAGATTCGAACCTGGGTTTCCCGCACGATTGGATTACGGCACCGATCTCATCTCAAGTTTAGATGTGCATGGTGGAGGGAGAAGACAAGGGCGAGGCACGATGAGGTCAACATGGTCATTGCAGGCTGTCAGCCGGAGGTGGGTGGGGTAGATGCAATTCCAGCTGTGCTAAGCCACCATGGCAGGCATGGAATGGAAGCCATCTTCTCATCTTCTCAGCATCGGAGTGCATGGCGGAGAAGGCACGGATGTACGGCACGGATTCGTCGACCATTTTTCCTTAGATCTGTCGCGAACCCAACAGCCACCGCAAGAGATATTTGTCACCAACCGCGGAGCTGCTCCAGACCAAACCTGTTGCGCATATGTTTTTTTTGGAGTGCAGAGCCCTTGCCAAACTTGCCGCCTCACTGTCACCAAGTAGTTACCGTATCTTAAAACCAGCGCACCGGCAACCATGGCCCATATTCAATCGACGTCGTCGGCGCGGGTCCTCACCTTCGCCGTGCTCTGCTCTGCGTTATGGGTGGCGACTCTCCCACGCATCGCGGATGCAGTTCCTCTCTCCTACGTGCTGAGTCAGATCCGCGACACGTCCAACACGGACGGCAAGCCCGCCGACATGACTGCGGGAGTGGTGGAGTTCGCCGCTGGATACGACAAGGTCGATGACATTTCCGGAAGCTCGCTTCTTTTTCCCATTAACGAAGGCTGGACTAGCGCACTCACGGGTTACAAGGCCAAGAACCCGTCTGCGACATCCTCGTCGGACCCGGTTCTCGAGGCGCTCACCACGGTGTTGTCCTCGTCGGGGTCACTGTCGGCCCTCAACGGCATGTCCGCAAACGCCAAGAACGCGCTGTCGCGCCTCGCCAAGTTCATGGCGATCCGCGGTACCATCTCAACCACAGACATGGAAAGTGGCAGCGTGAGTGTCCCGCAACTCGTGGAAAGCACAGTAGCACTCCATTGCGAGTCTCCACCATTCTGTGTTGGAATTTCGCACTCCATTCTTTCTTCGTCATTGCAATGCGCATGATCGTCCCATTGTCTATTACGAATCTGTTTCCTTCCCAAGCAGTACAAGAACGGGCGGTTCAGCTTCGACACGGAGGTGAACCAGCCAATGTACCTCTACGCCAACGTCACTGGCGCGCTCATGTATGCCAGCATCGGGGGCTTGGATCACGTCTTCACTGGGACCGACCGTGGTGCCGTTGACCCCACTACTTCCAAGAAGAATGGACTCATCGCGGGGAGTGATGATGGAGGGCCGAAAGCAGCCGCGGATGTTCTAGTGGCTGTTATACTGAGAACCAGCCGTGTTAAAGGTGCCATCAAGACAACCGACTCCGATATGACCGCCATGTTTGTAACCGACGTGGCGTTCCCCGCCAACATGGGCTCGCTTACCAGCTCCGACCCCGTGTCACCGTATGGCAAAGGTGCGTTGTGGGGTGTGGATGGCACCTTTGAGTCACCTGCTGCTTTCTAAGGCTGTTCTTCCCAGCAATGATGCCGCAACAGGAAGTTGGAGGCGACGTAGACATGCGCGAGTACCACATGGATAATGGCTAATGTGCACTCGCATGCCCTGTTGTTGCCTCTGCATACCAATGCGTTGTGACTGCCGCTGCCCAACCCTGATCTGCTGTTGCAACAATACCCCGTGAGCTTAATCAACCAGGATTTTTTTATTTCTCTGGTTGTGCAGGTGCTGGCAGGTTTTTCTTGTACGGAATATCCCTGGCTCTGGTTCTTTCTCTGATTGTGGTGCTTGTGCTCGTTTAGTATTCAATGGAATCCTTACCACATGTTTGATCTACTAGATAATGAGAGAGTGGGGCTGGTTTGCAATAATGATACGGTAGTACTGCAAACACGCCGTTTGTGTCTTGATACTTGTCTGTGTAAAAGAGAGCGTGTACATTTGCAATCAGCAGGTTCGAAATCAATCTGGTTCCCATTCCCTCGCACAACCAATGTGATCCTAGGAAGAAGAGGGGGAGGGGGTGGGGTGGGTGTCAAATGTTGTAGTCTTAGTGATGTGTGTTATAGGGGGTACAACTGTTAGGGTTAGGTTTATGTACCCCAACCAACCTTAGTGAAACCAACACTTTCATTCTTGACATGGTATCACATAGGTTAGGATCCTGTAGGATCCCGTTCCTCTCGTTCACATCAGTAGCGCCCGAGCCTGTCCCATACCCTAGTGCCCGTTACGCCCGTACTGTCCCCTAGCGCCTCTCGCGCTCGTCTCTCTCGTGCCCTAGCGCCCGCTGCGCCTGCGTCGCGTCGCCCCTGCTGTCCCGTCCCGTCCCGTCGCCCCTGCTGTCCCGCCGCGTCGCCCCTGCCGTCGCGTCGCCCCTGCTCTCTTGTCCCGTCCTGTCGCCCCTGCTGTCCTGTCGCCCCTACTGTCCCGTCCTGTCGCCCCTGCCGTCGCGTCGCCCCTGCTGTCCCGTCCCGTCCCGTCGCCCCTGCTGTCCCGTCCCGTCGCCCCTACCGTCGCGTCGCCCCTGCTGTCCCGTCCCGTCGCCCCTGCCGTCGCGTCGCCCCTGCTGTCCCATCCCGTGCCGTCGCCCCTGATGTCCCGTCGCGTCGCCCCCTGCTGTCCCGTCCCGTCCCGTCGTCCCTGCTGTCCCGTCCCGTCCCGTCGTCCCTGCTGCCCCGTCGCATCGCCCCCCTTCTGTCCCGCCGCGTCGCGCAGTCCGTCCCGTCCCGTCCCGTCCGCGTCGCGCTTCCCGTCCCGTCCCGTCGCATGCGCCCCGTGCGCCCTGCCCGTCCGTCGCGCCCCGTGCGCCCTGCCCGTCCGTTGCACCCCGTGCGCCTTGCCCGTCCGTCGCGCCCCCGCTGCGCCCTGCCCGTCCGTCGAGCCCCGTGCGCCCTGCCTGTCCGCGCCTGTCGCGCCCGTCCCTGCCAGTCGCGTCCGTCCTGTCGTGTCGCACTGTCTGTCACGCCCTACGCAGGCCCTTTAGGCGTTTAGGGTTTCGGCAGCAGCAGTATCCACCTCTACGCTTCCGCTATGGCGACCCCTAGGGTCCTGCGCTTTGACGCTAAGGGTAGGCCACTCGACTTCTCGGTGTGGCACCTGCGCGCGCGCCGCTTTCTAGAGAGCCAGGTTCAGGCACACGAGACTCTGTGGGCGCACGCTTCCGGTGACCTACCTGAACCACCTGACCCTGCACCCTTAGCAGTTGACCCCACACCTGCAGACAGTGACCGTTATGCACGCGAGCGTGCTGACGTGACAGCGTGGAAGCCGCGTGCAAGCTGCATCGTCCTCAGCAGCCTCCTCCCTGAGTATAAGGAGACCCACTTCACTCATGTTCGCACGGCTAGTGAGTTCCTGACTGCGATCAAGGCCCGCTACGCTACTCCCACAACTGTCTCTCTTGGTCGCCTGTTCCTTCCGTTCCTGTTTCCTGGCCTCGTCTCGTTTGAGCGCACTGCTGACTTGATCACTCATCTGCGCTCGCTCGATTCTAGCTACCGCGCAGCTTGCACTGACGCACAGCTTGCACTGCTCTCCCACCCCCCATGGCGATTACTATCTATTTCATTGCCACTAGCCTCCCTGACTGTCATAATGTTCTAATGCTTACAGTTGTGTAGTCTATAGTGGGGTAGCCCATAAGGGGTACAACCCAATTAGGGTTAGTACTTGTCCCCAACTCTTTCATAGTTCATTCATTCTCGTTCATTCCTTTGACATGGTTTCAGAGCAGGTCTGTTTTTTTTAGGGCCCACCACAGCACTGCCCCACTAGCAACCCTGCTGGCTCACGCGCCGCCCTCTGCAGCCCTCGTGCTGCACCTACTGCCCTGCGCGCCGCCCTCTTGCGGCCCGCCCTTCGACCCTAGGCCCCGTGCGCCCGCCCCTTTGCGGCCCGCCCGTCGAACATAGTCTCCGCGCGTCCGACGCCCCTAGGCCCCGGCCCGCCCATCGCCCCTAGGCACCGGCCCGCCCATCGACCCTACTGCCCCGCGCGCCCGCCCGTCGACCCTAGCCCGGCCCGCCCGTCGACCCTAGGCCCCGGCCCGCCCGTCGCACCTAGGCCCCGGCCCGCCCGTCGACCCTACTGCCCCGCGCGCCCACCCGTCGACCCTAGCCTGGCCCGCCCGTCGACCCTAGGCCCCGGCCAGCCCGTCGGCCCTAGGCCCCGGCCCGGCCGTCGCCCCTAGACCCCGGCCCGCCCGTCGACCCTGCTGCCCCGCGCGCCCGCCCATCGACCCTAGCCCGGCCCGCCCGTCGACCCTAGGCCCCGGCCCGCCCGTCGCCCCTAGGCCCCGGCCCGCCCGTCGCCCCTAGGCCCCGGCCCGCCCGTCGACCCTACTGCCCCGAGCGCCCGCCTGTCGACCCTAGCCCAGCCCGCCCGTTGACCCTATGCCCTGGCCCGCCCGTTGACCCTATGCCTCGGCCCGCGAACCGCCCTTGCAGCCCTGCGCGCCGCCCTTGATGGCTCTCTAGCCGCCCCTGCTGCCCTACTAGCCGCCCCTTGCGGCCCTCTTGCAGCCCCTGCAGCCCAGCGCGCCGCCCCTTGCGACCCGCCCCTAGGCCCCCGAGCCGCCCCTCTTGCAGCTTGCGCACCGCCTCTTGCAGACCGCCTACCGCCCCTTGCTGCTGCCTGCCCTGTTCCCTGCGCTGCCCGGCTTCTGCCCGCCCTGCGTGTTGCGCCGCTATGGCTTCTCTCCGCGTTCTCGCGTTCGATCATGAGGGCCGCCCGATCCAGTTTGACACGTGGCTCGACGACCTGCAGCTGTACCTACTGAGCGACAATAGGGACAGCGTTTTGTTGTTTGACCACACGTCTCGCGCCGCTCCCGCCCCTCCCGCCACAGCTGACAGTGCGACTCGCTCACAGTGGCTTACTCGTGATGCTGCTGCTCGCTTAGCCATTCGCAACCACCTGCCGTTAGCCGAATGCGCTCACTTCGGACAGCACAGGACAGCACAGACACTGTACGACGCTGTAGTCGCCCGTTACTCCTCACCTGCCACTGCTGCTCTAGGCCGTCTTCTGCTGCCGTACCTATTTCCCAAGCTGTCCGCCTTTGCCACTATAGAGGACCTGGTTTCCCACCTTCGCACTAGCGACGCTCCCTACCGGGCTGCCGTCCCAGCAGAGTTCCTTGAGAGGAACCAGCCCCCGATGTTCATCACTCTCTACTTTATAGTCACCCGCCTCCCTGACTCTCTTCACTCTATCTGGGACCACTTTCTCGCACATGACCCCACAGTCCTCACCGTTGACCTACTCGAGCAGCACCTCCTTGCAGTTGAGACTAGTGTAGTTGCTGTAGGTGCTGCTCGTGGCACTCCGCGCACGCCCTTCTTTGAGGGGTGCTCCCCCTCCCCCCTTGCCCCCTCCTACGCCTCTGCAGCTGCTGCTGACGTCCTTGGTGCTGAGGACGTTGGGGCTGCTTCTCCTAGTGCGAAGCGCTGCAAAAGCAAGGGCAAGGGTGGCAGGGGTGGTGGTGGTGGCAGCGGGGGTGGTGGTGGGGGCAGCAGTGTAGGTGGTGGAGGCAGTGGAGGCGGTGGCGGTAGTGGGAGTGGTGGCGGGAGTGGGGGCTTTGGTGGAGTCGGCGGTGGCAGCGGTAGGGGTGGCGGTAGTGGCGGCAGTGGGAGTGGTGGCGGTAGGGCTGGAGCTACTCAGCGTGGAGGTTCTGGAGGTGGCCAGCCGCAGCAGCAGCAGCGTCGGAGCGAGACCCCGTTGCCTCAGCAGCTTCGTGAGTGGTTTTCTCAGCGTGGGGCGTCTAGGGGTAGTGGTAGCTGCCCGTATGTGATTCGCACGGGTGACAGTGCTGGTCAGACATGCGGGAAGCCTCACATTCAGCACCACTGCTTCTCCTGCCTTGACGATGCTTGGCGCGCAGAGTTTGGTGACGAGGCCGAGCGCCCCCGCTGGGCAGAGCTGCTTAGGTCTTGAGTTGCTATCTTTGTTCAAGACTATGATGTTATCATAGCTGCTATGTATATGCTTTGTTTGTTAGTGCTCAGGGTGACTGTTACCTGTGTGTGCCGCCTGACCCAGGTATCGAGGCTGCTGCTCTAGGTGCTAGTGAGTCTGCTCTCCTTGGTACTGCGCCTGCTGAGGCCTTGCACACCTTCACGCTTGACTCAGGTGCCTCACGCTGTTTCTTTCGCGACATCACCACCCTCACTCCTCTCTCTGCACCTGTACCGGTCAAGCTGGCTGAGCCCTCCAAGGGCCCAGTCCTCGCCCGTTCCTCCACTGTGCTCCCGTGTCCGGCGGTTCCGTCCGGCTCACTGTCAGGCCTTCACCACCCCTCGTTCTCTACGAGCTTGGTGAGTACCGCTGCCCTCCAGGATGCGATGGTCACTACCACCCTTCCTGGGGGTCAGCGTGTGTCAATCTACACGTGTACACGGACGGGCCGCCACCTGGCCACGTTCACACGTCGGCCAGGGTCGAGTCTGTACACATTGGCTATTGAGCCTACTCAGATAGCTGCATCTGCCAAGGTGTCCGCGTCA